GACATATATTGATTCTAGGAGACAGACATAACGAAACACGAATTTACACTTAAGTATACCACCTCACGGGCCCATTTCCAGATTTCCAGACGAAGTCTAACATGTTTTAGTAAAATAGTAGAAATATGTCGGAACCACTGGAAATAAAATCTACAAGCTTTTGATTTAATTAATTTTGTCTATATTGTTGATAAGAGTGTAAAGATGATTATAAACGGGTCGTGGATTCGATCCCCACCGTCAAAGTTCTTGTCGAAATGTTACATGGCTGAGGTATTACACCTTCAATCAAAAGATCAGCACGCATGTCTGTGCTCCTCTACTTAAAAAAATAAAGATAAATAATAAATATATTATCGTCTGTAATAGAAAAAAAATCGATAAAGGTCATAACCAAGGAGGCGGCATCACATCCCTAATGAACCGTGAAAAATTGACAGTGACATATGTCACTGATACGTCACGGTCGCAGTCAGCTGTTGTTGGAGAGAAATTTCGCAGATTCAACACGCCTCGTAAGATTAGACATGGTGTAGAAGTTTACGAAAACTGGTGTTACTGTTCCCCGTTAAAAGATTCAATCATCCCGATGGTTCGGGTACTTTGCAAGAGCCGTGGTCAGGGGGGAACTGTCTAAACTGTTAGAAGCATTATATTTAAGTTTCTTAGGTCGCAGACACTAAAATATATCCGTGAATGATAAAAATTCATATTGCAACGTTGTACGATGAGTCAGTTTTCGCAACGAATACGCGAAATCTATAATTACGTACTTTGTCACGGATCTCGAGCGACCTACATTTGTGGGTATATCCATATATGCTTTAGTTCTCGGCCAAACTATTGCTTTATTATTTCGTTAATAGTCATTAGTACTACGATATGACAATTCAGAAAACCCCAATGATAGAGGCGTTGCAATATTTAAATTCCATTAGCCTACCAAACATAAGAGTATTATGGTTTGAAAGTCTTCATCTCGCCAAAGATGAGGGGCAATTCTCAAATACGTAATATTAAATATAGGTAAGTATGTAAGCAGTAAAATAATTGTAAAATGAACGATATATGACGACTAATATTTTTATTTGTTAATATCAAATTATCGTATCTTAAGTTTTTTCGAACGACTAAACGAATTTTAAAGAAATTAACTTTTAATCAATGAAAAAGGCCCTGTTTCTAAATAATGTGTGCAAAACATAAGAATATCATAATTAAAGATTTGTTTTATAGGTGGGAATACGGACATACAAAGTATAAAGTAGGTTAGGGACATTTTATTATCTTACATCAAGACTCTTATAAGCAAAAATTAATAAGATATATATATGTTATATTCTCTAAAAAAATTTACTTTCCCTAGAGAGATTTCTTAGAACTCCTTAACCATAAAGGTTTCACATAAATACAGCAGCCATTTTAAGATGCACCATAAATATTTGCGATCTAAGGCAAGTTACTAACGGACGACTATTAATAGTTGTAATGAAAAATTGCTGTTTTTTATAAACACAACAATTATTTCATGACAGATGACAGGCAGGCATGTGATCTATTTGATGAAAGATAAAATACGCCAGCCACATAGCACAATACAAATAAATACGCATAAAAACAAAATGCGCTATCGACCTATAATATTATTTGACATATCGAAATGTGGAAGAAAACAGGAAAAATATTCACTTAGTGGGTTTCTGTTGCGTGCGCTGCAAAAACCGTTATAGATCCCCCAAAAATATGCAGAAAACTAAATATTCTTCTTAAATGATCTAAAAAATGTTTCATGAGGAGTTTCAGTCTTTGGATTTCCAAATATCCAAATTATATAGTTGGGGTTTTTCACCTCCCATCAAATGAGTCCCAGTGCTTGTCTGTCCTCCTCCATCAGGAAAATAGAAAGGTTGATTACATTTGTAGTTAAATAAAACACTTTAACGGTTCAAAAGGCTTTTCGTTTTAACTTCGGCCCGACGTTTCGACTGCTGCAAACTATCTGAAACGTCGGAGCCTAAGTTAAAAATCATTTTCAAATAAGTTTAACTAATATATCGCGTTTTAAACCGTTAAAGTGTTTTATTTAAATGTGTACTACTCGCGTAAAATATAGACAGTATTTAGATTTGCAGTGTTTTTGCAACGAAATGATTGCCGATGTATAATAACTAGACTTGCAACGAATATTCGGTTACTATTCGGTATTCGGCCTATTCGGCTGCTTTTATTATATTCGGCCGAATACCGAATATCTACATATTATTCGGCCGAATAACGAATACCTAAATAATATATTTTGTCATAGAGAAATAATTGGTAAAATGAAAAATTAAAATCGATTGCTTACGTATATACTTATTCATATTTTTGTTTCTGTTATAATCATATAAGTAGTCATTGGTACATAATTGGTGGAACCCTCACGAGGAAAAATATATACTCATGCTAGAGAAGATCCAAAAAGCCTTTCTGCGGTTTCTTTACAAACACCAATACGGTTTTTACCCCTACTTGTATCCTACCTTGTTTTTATTAGGACAGCTTGGCTTTAATTCTCTTGTAAGTCGCAGATCTCGTGGGCAATTAGTTGTAGCTTGTAAGTTGTTTCGAAACCAAATCGATGATACTTATTTGAGGGAAGCCTTCTGTCGACTGTTTGTACCGAACAACTATGGCCACGCTAGAAGACACGATCTCTTTGACGTCCCGAGAGGTCGCACCTCTGCTCGCGCGTTTTCGCCGATACCACGAATTTTAACCTCACTCAACGCTCTCCTCAAGTTAAGACCCAAATGTGATCTTTTCGCAGATCACTGGTCATCAATACTGAGAGAATTGTCTGATTTTTAAATTTTGTCCTAATGTAATTGATGCATACTCTATTGTTAAGTGTAATTCTATTGTGTACAGAAGTACACAATAGAATATTGGATAGAAATCCAATTAATGTAAGTGGCTATCGCTGTTTTAATTGTCTTTATAATAAATAAATAAATAAATAAATAATACTATAATAGTAGTAATTGGTACATAATAATAACGAGTACGTTAGAACAAAACAAAGGAGCGCGAAACAATCACGTCTGTACAAGTTTTTGGAGCAAAAATCCAGCCGAATACTTTTGCCTAATATTCGGCTATTCGGTCAGGGGTCTCGCCGAATATTCGGTATTCGGTATACTGCCGAATATACTATTCGTTGCAAGTCTAATAATAACCTTTTGTGGCGTCACGGCTTGGCGCCAGTGAAAGCGTTGTTACACAATCATGTAAATGAGTCACCTTGAAGATTTTGGGATCAACTCGTTTTTTACATTAATTATTGACACAGAAAACATTCTCATAATAAACGGAGATGAGTACCGGATTTCCTATGCTTGAAGGCAATCGTTTATAGAAGTACAAGGTACAAAAATTCAACTAAAAGAATACAAAACAGTACAATTTTAACTTTGTGCTTAAAGGCATCAAGACTCAGCATGTACTAAGCATGGCTTGTTACGCGCTGATTTTCAGTCTGTCCCTATCAGATAGCAATTACAAAAAACTTAAATATAGTGGAAAAGTTGGAAAAATACATTTTCTTAAATTGCAATCCTTAGTTCTTAAATCAAGAATACAAAATACGTTGTTTCACTACAGAGCAGGGTATAGGCAGTCTGTGTAACCACTTGTCTATATATAAAAATACCTAATAACCAAACGGACAATAAGTGGGGGAGAAATCAGACCCTTTATTAGATTCTTATGGAATTTGTGTAAGATTTAGTAGACACTTGCATATCATAGATATATTTCTAATAACCGTTTATTTGAAGTTTATCTTTTTGAATTTATCTAATTGATACTATTTAGTAAATATATAAGACCTAGATCTTCCTAGACCCTTGATCATAAAAATTTGTTTTTAAAAATCTCTTGTTTACTCTATAAACTTAAGCTGTTAACCACGACGTGGTCCTTGCAAGTTCATCTTAAAGATATATCCTGCCGCGGACATCTTTTTTTTATTCATTCGATTATTAATATATTTTGGATATTTTAAACCGTTTTTGCAAAGCGCATAACTTTCCTCGTGTTTTCACATTTTTGGCTGTTTCTGCGATCCTATTAGTTGCAACGCCTTCCTCGACGAAAGCTCTAAACCTATCTAACTAACACAAGTTTTCAATTTGAACCAGTGGTTCCTGGGATTAGCCCGTTCAAACAAACTAACTCTTCAGCTTTATATGTTAGTATAGATAAAATCTTTAATATTTGTCATCTTGCACATGATAGCGTTATATAAATTATTGTTTAATTATAAGTATATAGTAATTAAAAAGCACTCACCTGCCGCCTGTATGAAAGCATGCAAAGAAGCATATATTATATTAGTATGTTAAGATATAATAGATGTGAGGAAGCAAGACATAGTTAGAAGAGCTGGAAAGATAAACAGTATATACAGATGTACCTGTGACGTCACGATTTATAAAAATCTGGTTTCTACCTATGTCTTGCCGCACGACCACATCTGAGCTCAGTTAGTCCGTTAGGTCCCGAATCCAGGTCTTAGACACCGTCGCGTAACAATAAACTAGTTCCTTATAATCGTTTCCTCTGTATACTAATTACTCTGTGGCAAACTCGTACATCGTTACAAGAATTGTAATTAAAACATCCTGATTATCAGGAACTTAAATTCAGATTTAATAATCTCTTTACTTTCACGTTTCGAAATATTATAATTAACAACTGGATTATCGTTGCTTATTTATTGCTTTATATTATTTAATTAATTATATAAGCGTATTTGAATTACAGATAACACAATTGAATTGTAATCGCTTTGAATTAAATAGAGAATATTAAATGCCAAAATGTCAATAGCACATCTTGTTCAGACGTTAAACGGCTGGGATTTCACGTTCCACTAAGTGGACCCCCATGATGTCCTATTACAAAATATTCTAGGAACCCTGTTACGCGACGGTGCTACAAAATCCAAAGAAACTTACTCTCGTCGTTAATAACTGGGCCGTAACTGAAGCCTTCAAATGGCGATTCTATACTATTCGAGTCTTGCACTCCAAGAATACCGGACTTCGCTACTCTGTGGCAACAGCTCTTTAGCAGTCCCCCGCAAGAGCCTTCCAGCAGGCCACCTTTCATCCAGCACGACAGAAAGAACTCGCACGTCCCACCTTGGGGACACCCATCATCGTATTTCCTATCTTTCTCTGGCAGCTCGGTTACCGCATCTTTCGTCTTGCTCACATCGTTGTCAAGATGTCTGCCGTGTCTGTACTTCGTTGGCGTCGTGGTTAAGAGATCTTTCATGATCAGATTGATTTTTGTTATCTGTGCATCTGATATCGGCTTGAACTCCGGCACGGTAGCGTTTGCGGTCTCGACAAAGTTCCGTTTAATGACCTCCCTCGGTACGAACATGGGTTTTCGAATTCTAAATGGGACTTTTTGTAGATAGTACTTATTCCATAAAGCGTCGGTTCTTTTGTGAGCCCGATGTGGTACGTTGGCATCTGCGTTGGAAAAGAATTGAATGACTTTAGGGCAATGACATGAAATTGTAAAGGTACCTTCACCTATAGAGGTTTAGCTATTGTAATGAGAAGCTGTAAAGATTTCGTCATAGTTACGATGGAAGAGATGTGATATGCAAATTGAATGAAGTATTAGTAATGATAAATAACCAAGTATACCATTTATTGTTAAGCATATAGGTATAAAAAAGAATTGAATAGATTTGAAGATTTAAGATAAACACACAGCTGGTCCAAAGATTGTAAAGTCGCTAGTTATAAAATTTACAGATACCTGTAAAATAATTCAAACCTTGTTATTCATAATGCATTTCGCACTCATGCGCAGCTTGTTAATAAGCCTAATTCATACTTTAACCATCAATGTAAGTTAAGTTAAATTAATTAAAATAAGTTAACATACTTATTTAACTATTCTTTTTGTATTGTTTGTAACTAAGTAAAGAGATAGAGTGTGCTATCAAATATCTTTGTCTACTCTCCGAGAGCCTCAAAGGGTATTTTAACAGAGGCAATATTAAGCCATAGGAAGTGGAATGCACGACCCGCAACTTACTAAAAATAGTACAAGAAATAATTATGATGATAATTTGCATAAACTCATCTCAGACTTATGCAAAATGGGACGAAGTTATCAATAATAGTGAGCGCTAAATATATTGTGCAATTGTTACACGGACGAAAAGTGGGCTTGTAGCGATTGCAAAATAAATTTTTTAAATAGTGTATTATTTAAACTATATTAAATGTGGATTTCAAGATTCCGTTCTGAACAGGAATCACCGTCTACAAAAAAGCTGTAAAGTATAAATCTGTGTTTCGAATGTTATATAGGTATGAATTCCCAAATATAATAAAAAAAAGATTGACAGCACATCTGAATTAGTAGATATAGGGTATTTCGACTATTAAGAGCGGACCCAATGTTATCTGTAGTTTTTTTTAATAAATAAAGCTGTCTATGAAAATTGTAATATTTTGCATATGGTGGCTTTATATAAATTAAAAGTCATTTTTAGATTAAGAAAAAATTACGATAAGAGCATCACTTGTCCTACACACACGGTAGCTCAATTGGCTCGTCGTCGAATTTTTTCAACCTGTAGACACATCCACCGCTCGCGCACACAAACAGCTGTCTTTGGTCTTTCTGTTCTCAAGTTATGAGTGTTCTATCAAATCCAGGTGTTTACTTTATTTTAGGAATACTGTACTAAATAGTGTCTGTAGTTTACACGAGTAGTACACATTTAAATAAAACTTTTTAGCGGTTTAGAAAGCGATATATATTAGTTAAACTGATTTGAAAATTTCCCTGTGACCACGGCACCTACAAAGCATTCAAAACGTCGGGCCGTAGTTAAAATAATTTTCAAATAAGTTTTACTAATATATATTGCGTTTTACACCGCTAAAGTGTTTTATTTAAATACTTAACTAATAAAACCTAAAAAATATTTTTGTCATGGTATCATCGTTGCTGACGGTACGCTTTGCGTTTCACTTTCACAGCGGTCGCGTAATGTTATACGATTACTTGCTATTGTAATATTCTTTACGTTATCATTTGTATAGAACATGTTCAAATTATTTTTATGGCCCGATGACTTTTAACGCATGTACAACTGGGATTTTTAAATTCACTGGATCTTTTGAATAAAACATTTTTAAAACGGTTTAAAACGCGGAATGTATTAGTTATCATATTAGTTATAGTAATCCAATTTATTTAACTACGATACGATGTTTCGGATGCTTTGCAGCAGCCGTGGTCACAGGGGGCACTGGAATTAAAATAAATTGTTCATAACTACAATGTTCAAACTAATATTTTTTGCGACATAAACCGTTTTATCTCAATGTGTACTACATAGTTGCGTAAATTAAACTCAATGTCACGGAAGAACACAGGAGAAACGGTCAACAAAGGACACATTATAAGCGTCACGTTTTCTCCCATATTTTTAATAGAAATCAAAATTGTACTATTTTCGGCGGACTCGTCATTCGCAGTGCAATGGGTAATAAATCAACGGGTCGTAGATTCTATTCCCACCGACTCCAACAAAACAAATAGCCTACCTCTGAAATATTTAATCGTCAGCGGGGTTTCGGCTACGAACAAACGCAGCTAAAAACGACTTCAGTCAGTAGACTTTTACCAAGCCATAATTGGTCGACAACGTATTTTGTTTAGATGTCATATAGCTGGGGTATTATACTTTGCATCAAACCTCATGCCAGTATGTCCTCTTCTCGACATAGTATAAAACAGTTGCCTTTTCTCTCCCTATGTACGCTTAAATCTTGAATCTACGTTTTTTTCAAAATACGTAGAATTAAGCGTGTCACCTGTCAAAGTTAATAAATACATCAAGTTACGTTTTAATGATCCATCTTGGATTTATGTAGAATATTGTTGAAAATCACGCGCATGAGTGGTTTAGCGAAAACTGATAATTATCTAGTAATAGACACACGTAAATATATTTCGACTAATAACTAGAATACGAGTAGTACATATTTAAAAACACTTTAACGGTTTAAAACGCGATATATCTTGGTTAGACTTATTTGAATTTTTTTTGACTACGGCCCGATGTGTCGGATGCTCTGCAGCAGCCGTGGTCACTGGGAGGCTGTGAAGGCTCGAAATTTTACCAAGTGCTTAGTTATTTCAATTGCCCTCTCTGCGCTACGCTACTGTCTCTACGCTGGCTTGTATTAAAGCGTGTCGTCTAGCATTGCGTTAATCACGTCTCGTCCTGAGTTGGAATCCCGGGGAAACAATATATTGTGTCGGCCGGGCTGGGCACAAAAGTCTTTCGGTTAAACTCTTTAAGAAATGACGGTTTATATCGCGAAATATATTAACTTATTTTTAACATTAGACGAAATAACGAATGCTTTGCAAATACCGTTTTCAAATGGGCACAGTCATCGTGCGTGCTGTAAACGCGTTTGAAGAAAATCAGATAAAAATTTAATATGTTATTTGATGGACATAGAACCTTAGACTCTTAACAGACAAGTTCTTGCTATGTCTGTAAAAACCAGCCAAGTGCCATGCGACGCGCGAGAGTCAATGACACTGCGGGAAAGAGACGGAAAATACAGGAAATAGGTAAACGAACGGGACGAACACACGTTTGTGTGTGCGTGCTGTCGTGCGCTAGTGAAATCTTTCGTTTAAGGGGAAGTTGTAAATTGTGCTATCGTATATTTGATTATTTTAATTTTAAATTGTATTTTAATTACGGTAATAATTTTACGTATCTACATAAATTTAACACATTTATTTAAAATAACAATCAAATTGATTAATATCTTTATCTTCATTGGATTTTATAATAAAACTGAAATGCGTATAAAATGCAACAAAAAAAATGCATGTCTAAATGTTTTATTTAATATAGTTTAAGTTTAAATTTTATTTTAATTAAACATAAGTATGTATTGTAAAAAAACACTTTAACGGTTTAAAACGCGATATATTAGGTAAACTTCTTTGAAAATGATTTTTAACTTCCGCCCGACGTTTCGGATGCTTTGCAGCAGCCGTGGTCACGGGGAGACTCCCAAGTGGGGAGGTCTCCCCGCGTCGCGTTTTAAACCGTTAAAGTGTTTTATTTAAATGTGTACTACTCGCGTAAACTATAGACAGTACATTAGCTTATTCTGTATCTGTGATTTTGACAAAAACGTATTGAGTTAAGTCTGACAGACCCTAGGATTGAATGCCAGGTCACCATAATAAATACAAAGTCAGATCAGCTTTTAAGCTAAATAAGTTAGTTATCATATTTTTGTTATTTTTACTGCGGCATCACGATTCGGATGCTATGAAGTAATCGTGCTCTCGGGGGATTGAAGATGGAGGGTGTCCCTAATGTCAATGTCAAATCTGGTACGCTAGCTTAGTTGGTAATTAGGCTTGATTCCAAATACCAAATAGCGTCGTCAAATTGTAATAACTAATATATTTCGCATTTTAAACCGTCAAGTGTTTTCACTTTTACTTGTTACTTGTAAAAAAAGTAAAGGGGCTTCCCCTTAAGAAGTGCCACATACTTGCACTCACGTTATAACGGTTAAAAGCAAATTTAAATTCTAAACTAAAAACGCATAAGATTTAACAGATTACAAATTTAGTTGCTCAAATGGCCGCAAGATGGTTTAATTGCTTTTTAAAGTTTATTTATATCATATAAATACTGTCATTCCTTTGTACGTAACCACATGATTGTTTTGAAACCTGGTGGGAATCGAAGCCACGACCCGTTGATTAATTATTCTTTCTTAATCGATCGTGTAAGGCTATCACGGCCATCGTTTAGCATTTTATAGTTTTTCGGTCTGTTCGGCTCGCAAACGGCAAACAAAGAACTATCATCTCCTGATGATGCTGTCCGCTCGTGATGGCGAAACGTCGAGAACTCTTTTCGCTCACGTGGGCCGAACAACCACAGAATACACAACACAGAATACACAACAATAACAACAACAGAAGCACGAAGTCAAACAAGATTCGGAAAAATTATAAATTATTTTTAAAAAAAAAATTCTCTTTTCGGAATCCGTTCTTAGCGGTTTTAGTTCAAGACAATACAAGGGCATATCCCTATAGCTGAGCGTTAACATTTTAACAGCTTCTGTTATGCAAGAGCGGATTAAATTTCGCAAAATCATGTACAGTGGATTATTTTTCCATTAAAATTTTAATGAACCGTACAGAGGAATGTATCTGCCCCATTTGCCACAAGGAGATACCGGACTTTACTATATAAATTCATAAATTGCGATACCATATATCTTTTAAGGTTATTCAACTACCTATTTCGTCGGATTTTCATTTTGACTGTTGGTCAGTCTCTTCTCGCATTGGTG